ACTTTTATGAAGGCCAACCTCCAGAGAATTGAAAGGGGTGCTGCCATTTGAGACAACAAACAGGAAAAGGTTTCTCAGGGTTTGTAACATCATACCCGTGGGCAGCTTCCTAGTGTCCTACACATGACAGGGCTGGTTACTATCCTCAGTACGACATGTTATGGGAACTATAAAAAGGGAAATACACTTCATTTATTACAAGCCAAGTAAATGATCTTAATGAGAATGAAACACAAAATGCTTGTCTGAAAACACAGAAAACCCATAGATCCTAGTCTGAAAAGATCCCGAATCTAGTTTGGGAGATGAGTAGGGCTTTGCAAACTAACCATCTACATGCCAAGACTCCAGCTAGATTCCCTGAGAGCCTAGAGATGGTCTTGAGGACCTAGGCATGGATCTTGACAAGTTTGTCAGGCTAACGAAAGGGAAAGTTTAAAGTTCAGATCATTGCTATGCATTTGTTGTTTTTGTCTTGAGGTTCGGCGACTAGACCCGCAAGAGCATGTGCATCCTAAACCAGAGTTCAGGAGCTACGGCCCCAGCTCACAGCAGAAGTCTTGAGGTCAGAAGAGCATGCTCCAAGTCCTACTGTGACCCTATTTTGTGTCACTGTCTTTTGCATGGGAAATGGCCCCCACAGGCTTCTGTGTTTGAACACCTGATTTCCCAGTCAGTGGAGATGTGTAGGGGTAGGATCTTTAAGACTGTGGCCTGGGTATCAGAAGCCAGTTGTGGAGTGCAGGCCTTGGAACAGATAGCCACTTCTGGATCTGGTCTGGTGCTCTGCTTCCTGAGCCACCAAGACAATGATTCTCAACCTATCATATCAGATAGTTACATTAGGATTCATAACAGTAACCAAATGACAATTATAAAGTCACACTGAAACGATTTTGTGGTTGGGGATCATGGCAGCATGAGGAACTGTATTAAAGGGTCACAGCATTAGGAAAACTGAGAACCACTGTATGAAGATAGGAGCTGGCCCCCATTGCTGCGGTCTTGGCCATCATGCTAACCCTGCCATGATGGAGCATATCACCTTAAACTGTAAGCCAAAACGAATCCTTTTTCCATGATTGGAAGTTGCTTCTGTCAAGTATTCTATTACAGAGATGGGGGGAAAAAAGAAATGAATACAGTGTGTTCTTAGAATAATCACATTTAACTTCACTTTTCTTATAATGAGAATAATAAGCATATCAGCCTTAGTTACTTTGCAGATATCTTGAGGAGACATGAAAGTTCGATCTACCAATGCAAATTACAGTTAAATGAAGCATTTCTGACTGTCTAGTTGCAATGCCTACACTCGGCTATAAGAGCCGTGAGGGTAGGCTGTGTCCTCCTGACATGCAGCCAATGCTGAGCTCAGGATCGTGTCCCTGGAGACAGGTATCCAGGGCATTTAGATTCCAAAAGAGATCTGCCTTAAGGAAGAAAAAATATACCAAGTTCAACCTCAGGGGGCAGTTCTGTCCAAACTACCCCTAGGGTTCAGGGCTGAGAGTACAAAGGGAAAAGATAGCTTTCACAGGAGGAGTTGGCCCAGCATATTGGCTCCAGATGGGATTTCAGCTGGAAGCATACAGAGGCAGCTGAGCTCAAAGAACACTGAGGTTTTCTGGACCTGCTCTCTGGCTGGCGGATGAACCGCATCAAGGAGAAATGGAGGCCAGGTGGTGTGGACAGAAGGGAAAGAAGACGGGATTTAGAAGAAGCAAGGAAGAGGTCACAATGGAGGGTCACATTCCAAATCTTTCACTTGGGTGGAAATTTGCAGCAAATACATCACCGGATGCCGCTAGATCTTCATGAATTAGAAAAAAATTTTCAGAACAAGGATCATAATAGATTGCTGAGTTGGATGAGACCTTTTCAAATGCCCTGATTCCCCCATCTCCATTTTACAGATGAAAGAATAGCCAAGAGAAATGAAGTTCAGTCGGTAAATGAGTCCCTTGAAGAAACAGAACTGGGATTCAGGTCACCTGATTCTCAGGTCAGTATGTTCCTTACTATCAATAATTGAATGGAGGCCTGGGAGAAACAGTACCATCAGTAAAGGTTTTTTTCTCACTTGTCTTGCAAGTGTAAGGACCTGAAGCCAATTTCCAGAACCTGTTTTTTTTTTGTTTGTTTTTTGTTTTTTGTGGTTTTTTTTGTAGTGGTTTGTTTGTTGTTGTTTTTTAAAGGGGACTTAGAAAGATGGCTAGGTGCTTAAGGGCACAGCTGCTCTGTCAGAGGACCCAGGTTCAGTTCCCAGCACCTACATGGCAGTTCACAACCCTCTGTAACCCCAGTTCCAGAGGATCCACACCCTTTTCTGACCTCTGCAGGCACTGCACACAAGTGGTACACTTTCATATACGCAGGCACTCATGAACATAAAATAAAAATAATAAACAAAAATATTTTAGAAGGGTGGGGATTGTGGCATGCAGTTGTAATCCAAGATCTGATGAGGCAGAGACAGATGGGTTCCTAGGGTTTGCTGGCTGTTGTGTAAAAGGATTTTTCTTGGGGAGACAAAACACACACCTCTACTCGCCCCAGATAGGGAGCTCATGACAGACCAAAATTGGATGCCACCAAAGTCCAACTTGGTGCACCAATGAATTTTATTGGAGTCACTCACAGGAGTATGGGTGAGGGGTTCCCTGTGGGAGCAGAAATAACTCAAAGACATTTCATCATCCAAACCTACCCCAACAGGGGTTACAGTTCACAAAAACTAGGAACCTGGAGCACACAGCCTACAGGCAACTCAACACATTGGGGAGTGTCCTTCCTAAGTGACTCTGGCCTAAACCTTTTTCAGGCAGCTCAACTAGTTTCTGCTCAGAGTCTTCTTTACATCTTGGCTTCTCTGAGAGTGACTGTCACCCCCTTTACTGCTTACTCTGAGGGGGGGGGGCTAGTGAATCTAGTCCATTTCAGGAACTTCCTGAAGCTACTTTGAGTTATCTTACTGCTTAACGAGCTTCACTGAAAAACGGAATTATTTCAGTCTCACAGGAAACTGCTGCACAGCACTGGCCAGTTAGCTTTGCATACTTGATTAATTCCAGTCCAATGAGTGACTTCATTAAAAAAAAAAAAAAAAAGTGAATAGAATCCAAGGAACAAAAGCTGAAGTTCTCCTCTGGTCTCCTCCACATACGTAGTACATAGAGTGCACATACATGCACCCACACATACACACACAAAAATAGGAACAACTGAATGGAGGTAATAGTGATGCTACGGTAGCAGCTAAGCACAACACTGCAGAAACTTAAGGAGTGAAAAGTTTTGGGTTTTTCCCCCCATTTCCGTTCGTGTAAGTCACAATATGAATACCACATGGGTTGGGTTCTCTGCAACACAGCCTGATGGGGAGACTTGCACACTGGAAAGTTGTAGGTGAGTACCTTTGGGGCAACATCTGGGTTGCCATGGTCACAGTGGAGGCTTTAGATAAAGCTTCCATTACATACAGCTGTTGTAATTCTAGCTCTTGGGAGGCTGAGGCAAGAGGATCCTGAACTCAAGCTGTAAGGAAACTGTGTAAAGAGATTTTACCTGAGAGGGGGCGAGAAAGAGGAGGAGGTACCTCGCACTGACATCATTCAATGTGGGGTGAAGCTTCAGGTGAGGCATCTCTCTTTAAACAAGAGCAATTCCTAAAGAATTCAGAGGCTGGGGCTCAACCGACAAGCACCGGAAGCTGGGAGAATAGAAGCTTTGGACCAAACGGAACCCTCAGCAACCCACCACAGCACAGCATCACCCTTGGTGGTCCAGGTTTGGGATGGGAGGGGCCACAGCCTTTTGCCACCTGATCATTCAAGGAGTCATCCACCTTTCAACCAGCTCTTATCTCAGGTTCTAAAGGTTTTCTGAACCCAGAAAAATCTGCAGAGAACAGTGATGTCATGCCCGGCTCCTCTCTGTGTGTGTGTCGTATGGGGTGAGCAGCAGAGTCATCTTAGGAAACATGTCCTGTGTCATATTGTTCTGCTTTGTTTTTTGTTTTTTTGTTTTATTTGTTTTGGGGGGTTGTTTTGTTGTTGTTGTTTTAGTTTTGCTTGTTTGTTTGTCTTCGTCTTAGTTGGGTTTATTTTGTTAAGATGGGATCTCTCTGGCTATCCAGAAATTCCATACATATTCCAGGCTGGCCTCAAAGTCATGTCCTTCTACCTCAGCCTCCCAAGTGCTAGAATGATAGGCATGCACCACCCCACTGAGACTTTTAGTCACCATTTGTGACTGTTCTGTCCCTCCCAAAGTCAACCCATTCCTCATCGCCACAGAAGAAAAAGAATGGAACTTTTCAGACCCAGGGAATGACTTCTGGGTATTCAGTTCTAAATGCCAGAACTATTCGAATAATTCCGGCTCTCTACAACCTCAGCTCAATGCAGAAGTGCTTTTCATTCTTCCCAGTGATGACCTATGGCTTTCTCTTGAACAGAGGGACCGTTCCTGATTACCTCTGACTGCTTCCTCTGTTATTCCCAGAGCAACTGAGAACGGCCCCTATCCAGAGCATCACCCGGGCGGGTCTTGGTTGAGCCACTATTTTGAAAGGGATGATTCTCTCTGGGGTAAGCTTGGCTTCAGGAAGATTCCCAGGTACAAGAGACTCAACGAGCACACGTCACCCAGCTCCCAGACTGTAGGAGATTCTTCCTCTGGGGCCTTCAACCCACAGAATGAGGAGTTGTCACCACGTTCAAGATGTTTCTAACAGTCATGCAGGGTTCTCAGTGCAGCTCGTGAAGCCATGTGATCCACCTACTCAGCCCTGGGCTCCAGTAATAAACTAGAGACAACCCATTTGTTATTCTTGTGAGCCCTCGTGAGACTGAGTCACCCTTTCTAGTGTCTATGATTACACAAGATTCTGGATTTTATTTGATCATATTCAGACACATGCCCAGGATTCTTTTTTAAAAAGCTTTTTATTTTATTTTTAATTACATGCATATTTATGTGTGTGGGAAAGCTGAAAAGCGTAGCACAAGCTTGTAATCCTAAAATTCTTGAGAAGGTAGAGACAGGAGGATTCTTGAGTTCATTGTCCAGCCAGCTTACCCAAATTAGTGAATTCCAGGCCAGTGAGAGATTCTGTCTCAAAAAATAAGGTGGTTGGCCCCAAAGAATGACAGCCAAAATTGTACTCTGGCCTCAACAATCACATGCACACACAGCTTACACATGTGAACACTTGGACACACACACACATATACACAAAACAAACTCATTTTGAATGTATGTTTTTAAATTATTTTTAGATTTATTTAAGATGTATGAATGTTTTGCCTGCATGTATGTATGTGCACCATGTATGTGCCTGGTGCCCTGGTAGTCAGAAGAAAGCCTGTGATCCCCTAGAACTGCAGTTATGGGTTGTGAGTCACAATGTGGGTGCTGGGAGTTGAACCTGGATCCTCCAAAAGAACAAGAGCTCTAAACCACTGAGCCATCTCCCCAGTCCCTTGACTGTTTATTATGAATTGAGATTTTAACTGATAGTGTAAGTGCATTGTATGATTTATATAAATGCATGTACATTGGGGATGCACACTCAAATTTTTACTGATGGAGAACCTAGTTAAAAAGGCAAGCTGTGGGGCTGTGGAGATAGCTTGGTGAATAAGGTGTTTGCCAACAGAAATGTGAGAACCGCAATTCAGATGCTCAGACCACATAAAAGCTGGGCAAGAGTGGCAGCCTCCTGTAATCTCAGCACAGGGGATCCCTGGGACAAGCTTACTGGCTAGACTGACTGGAACTGGCAAGCTCCAGGTTCAGGGAGAGATCCTGCCTCAATAGATAAAGTAGAAAGCAATCAAGGAAGCCACCTAACAACAATTTCAGGCCTACACACACACACACACACACACACCATGCACACATGTTGGAAGAAGACAAGCTGTTGTCATAAGCCACATAAATGAATCTTCATGATCACCCTGTGGTACTGTTTTTTAGAAAAGAAAATGGAAACTCAGGAAGACAAAGATCCCCAAAAACCATAAGCTGCAGGATGTATGGAGAAATGAGGACCAGCCAGCTATAAAACTTAAGTGAGCAATTCAGAAAGATACCTGGAAACTAAAAGGCAAATTCCAGACTGATCACTACTGAGTCATGAGCTCTGCCCCCGTTCTATTCCCAGAAGATCATGTCAGGAAAGCTCGCCCCAAAGCACCACTCACCCCATCAGACTGAAAGATGTTGCCTGGATCCTAAGAGTGAAAACATCACCCCTGGAGAAAAAAGCCAGGCACAAGTCATAGGACATTCTAAAGATGCTACCATCATCAGCACCAACAAACACACACGTCACCTTCATGAGCAGGTCTGAAATGGGAAGCAAGCCCCCAATCCCAGTTTAACTCCGGCTGCACAAAGGGTCTGATCCTAGCAAAGACTAAGGCATTTCAAATCTGTGACTTTGTAGGTTGCAGTGTTTAAAAATAAACATACCCCCACCCTGCGTGTGCTACACACACACACACACACACACACACACACACACACACACACACACACACACACACCAATACATAATGGGGAGAACTAGTCATTGGAAGAACGGAAACCTATTTCTCACTCTGCAGCGATCCAGTCTGCCTCCCCCAGCTCAGAAATGTGCTGTGCTCAGCGTTTCTGTGCGGATGCTGCATCCCTGGTTAGAATAAGGAAGGCAGCAGCGGCTGCAGCAGCAGCAACAGTAGCAGCCACAGCACAGGCTCCAGGGGGTGGGAATCAGATTGCACCATTTCTACCTCTTTGGCGACAGAAGCTCCAAGTGACAAGGAGGGTGAGAATGTAGTCCAGAGGCTGCTGGGCTATGTCACTCTGAAGGTGGTGAGTAGCATGCTATTCACTGGGGCATCAGCGGAGTAAAAATTCTGGGTCCTGATGGAGGGTGTGTGTGTGTGTGTGTGTGTGTGTGTGTGTGTGTGTGTGTGTGTGTGTGTGTGTGTGTCTGTGATGGAGCACATGGATGGGCACTTACATTTTCATGGCGCAGAAATACATATGTATCTGTGAATGCAGTAAATAAATAGGACACAGTGTTTCTGAGCAAGAGACTCAGAGCAGTCGTCGTGTGTTCTGAGGTTCAGAGAGATGAACCCCTAAGATTCCAGAGCTACTAAGGGACCGGTCTAGAACCTAGAGTCCTGATCCCCAGCTCAAGATTCTTATATTCTACATAGGGATATGATAGCTGCCCTTGGGCCAAGTGACTCATACTCCTGGGCATGAAACTAAAGACTGCAGCCGCAATGTGAATGTCACTGGGACACATTTCCCGGTTTGCAGTGAACATAGAAAACTATTTTAGACTAACTGCAACTTGAGACACAGCCTGTGTTGGCAATAAATCGCCCAGCCCTTGTGGCCACCTCCTCCATGGAGGTTATTCTCTGGGTCACAATCCCAAATACTTCCAGCATCTGGGAATCTTCCTAGCAAGTGAGCTGTAGCTGGGGCTCAAGCCCTGGCCATATCAACAACTTCCCCCACTCGGCCATAGACTGCATGTTTGCCGAATGCCAACCATGTACCAGGCACGATGTAAGTCACCCTCCGGTTTCTGTTTTGTTTTATCTTATAGTCATACCCGGGATCTCTCACATGCTGACTGAGATACACTCAACAACCCCAATGCTCACATTCAATATCTCAAGGCTCGGCACAGCATCCCGAGGCCTTACTACCCTGTTGTCCGAACTTGACAAGTCAGGAAGACTGAGGCTGGGTAAGGTTTAAAAGTGTGATCTGGTTAAGACTTTTTTCAAATTCCTATTTTCCTTAAGAATCATAGTTTGTTTGTTTGTTTTTTTTAAAAAAAAGTTATTTTCTATGATTCCCTCAACCAGTATGATCTTTGCCTCTAAAATGAAAGAGAATATTCTCTCCTTAATGAAAAGTCATTATCTATATAGCTCTGTGGTTCAAACGTGCAAACAGAGCAGAATGCTCAAAACTTTGACTCTCCGTTAGCCAACACATATGCCATGGGGGGAGGGGGATCCTCCAGTCTGTCTCATATTTTTCTGGTTGTTTCAAGTTAACATGATGAGATCTTTTCCAGAAACTTGACCACATCTATCAGCCAGGTCTAGAGCTGTGGGAGCTAGATAAGTTCTTCCCCTTCCCAGTGCCTCCATCTTTTCTCATTGATAAACTGACGACTCAGACTAAGTGATTTCTCTCCTCCCTCTGAGCCCTGAAATTGCATTCACTCCTTTCTCCTTAATCAAGCACGTCTCGTGTTCCCTGGGCACGCCAGATGCACTGTTGATGCTGGGAGGGCGTTTCTCCAAACCTGGAGATGTTATTTGCCGGCAGTTCCTGTCAAGCCCTCTCCATGCCACCACGCATCTTCAGTCATGGCTTCCTAACGCATAGAGCTACGAGACTTCCTCTGTGCCCTGTCTCCACACTGAGAGGTCTGCGTTCCCCTCTCTTGCTCTTTCCTAGAGTAGCACTGAGTGTGTGCTCACTAAGCCACAGTGCCAGGCACAGTGCTAAGCAGCTTTCACGCATGACGTCATTTAACCCCAACAATAATTCTATTCAGTAGATAATATGATTAGCCCGGCTTACCGATGAAGAAACTGGCAACTTGTCCAAAATGGCATGGTTGAAAAATAATGGGGACGGAGATCCTGTTTGGGAGGATGATGAAAGCTTCTGGAAATGGATAGAAGTGATGATTGAATGACATTGGAAACGTATTTAATGCTACGATTTTAAATGGTGTGGGGCATGGTGGCTCATGTGGGAGGCCGAGGTAGGAAGGCTGCCACAAGTTCAAAGCCAGCCTGGGCCAGCCTGAACTGCAGAGTGAGACCCTGTCTCAAAATGAAACAAAATAAAAGGCTAAAATGCTAAATTCATGTTACACATTTTTTTTTTACCACAATAAAAGGAAAAGAGTAGGATCAGGGATAGAGCTCAGTTGGTAGAATATCTGTCTAGTACTCAGGAAGCCCTGGGTTCAATCCCCAGCACCACATAAAACTAGGCATGGAGGCATGTGTCTGAAATCTCATCGATAAGAGGTGGAGGCAAAAGAATCAGAAGTCCAAAGTCATCCTTGGCTATATATTGAGGCCAGCCTGCGCTACATGAGATTTGTCTCAAAAAAAAAATTTTAAAAAAAGAAAGAAAAGGGGAAAGAAGGAAGAAGAGAAAGGAAGGAGAAGAGAGAAAAGAGAGGAAGAGAAAGAGAGAGAGAGCATAAGCCACCTAGACAGGGGTGGAGGAGGGAGGGACGGAGGGAAGGAGAGAGGAAGGTCAAAAGTAAGCACCACGTCTCATCTATTGCTACAAACAAATAGGACTCAGAAATGGAGCTGATGAGTCTGACTAAATTATATCTGTTGTCAAATAACTAGATGTGTATAACATTGTATCTTGATATTTGTCTGAGACTTTTTTGTAGCTAGAACATGATCAAGGTTTTATAGGAAATGTCACAGGGATTTTTCTAATAATGAATAAGAGGGTTTCTAAACCTGTGTGTTAAAGTAAGATGTGTGCGTGCGTGCGTGCGTGCGTGCGTGCGTGCGTGCGTGCGTGTGTGTGTGTGTGTGTGTGTGTGTGTGTGAGAGAGAGAGAGAGGGGGGGGGGCAGACACACACACACACACACACACACACACAGAAGGAGAGAGAGAAAGAGAATCTCATGTAGCCCAGTCTGGCTTCATACTTGTGTGTAGCCAAGGATGACATTAATTGGATCTTGCCTCTACTTTCCCAGTGATGGATTATAGATGTACACCATCACACCCAGTATATGGGGTGCTGGATATTGAACCTGGGGTCTCACGCGTGTTAGACAAGCACTATACAACTGAGCTACATCCCCGGCCCTTTAAAAGAGGTTGTCACATTGTTACATTGTTCCAAGATTGCATAACCTTTCTAAGTTATTGGCTTTTGATGTCCAAGAAAAGGGAACTCAAAATCTCTGTTTTGTGTTCCCGGTTTTTTCCCTATTACTTCTCTTTGTTGATGTTGTTTCGTTGGCATTTGTGATTTTTGGTTGGTTGGTTGGTTTGTTTGTTTGTTTGTTTGTTTGTTTTGTTTAGTTGTTTTTGTTTTTTGCTTTTCTACTTTGGAGCTCAGTTTCTAGGAGCAAACAATTTTAGAACTATTGTTCTACTCAGTTTTCTCCCTCTATTGGTTGTTATGTAAACTCCATCTATATCAATACTTCTAGTCTTCCAGGCTGCTTTATTCTGACATTAACAGTAATTGCCAGTTTTTGTTTGGTTGAAATTTGGCTCCTTGCAAGGTGTGGTGGCATACACCTTTAATCCCAGCACTTGATTGGGGGGAGCGGGGCAGAGGCAGACGGATCTCTGTGAGTTTGAGGCCGGCTGGGTCTACAAAGTGAGTTCCATGACAGCCGAGGCTGTTACACAGAGAAACCCTGTCTCAAAAAACAAACAAGCAAAGAAATTTAGCTCTCATTCTCTCACCCTTTGCATTTTATGTTTTTATATGTTTCTTACAAACAACACATAGGTAGATTTTACTACAACTCCAGCTAGATCTATCTCCTTCGAGCTCTGCAATATGATTCAATGAAAAGAAGACTTTTTTGTTTGTTTTCTTTCATTTTTCAAGACAAGGTTTCTCTGTGTAACAGCCCTGGCTGTCCTGGAACTAGCTTTGAAAACCAGGCTAGCCTCAAACTCACAGAGGTCTACCTACCTCTGCCTCCCAGAAAGAACACTCTTAAAGCCTGCCCATAGGTTTTAGGGACTCATTTCCAGGAGATTTTCTGGTTTTCTCATTGAAGGACCTCTGTGAGCATGTTCTTCACATACCCCTTACAGCACGTTAAAAAAAAAAAAAAAAAAAAAAAAAAAAAAAAACGAGTCCTCTCTCTCAGTCTGCATCACTCCGTCACATCTGGTAAGCTTTGAATGGTGCCTTGCCTCTCCCAGACATCCCCCCAAAATTCACAGCCCCAGCCAGCCTCTTTAGTGTGTGCTCTTGTGCTGGTCATGCTAGGTTATTGTGCCAGCAGCGAATTGTGCACCAAGGCATGTCCTCGAAAACAGACCTAGAATTGAAGCTTGAGTCTCCAACAGAAGGAATGCCTTAGATCCCTGCAGATGTTGCTACAGTTATCCTCCTTCATCCCAGAAATGTTGGTAAACTACTCCGGCCTTCAGCCAAGACGAAGCCAAAGAAACCCTGGTGGTGTTTACCAGTAGCTTCCTTCCCTGGTCTTCCTTTCCTCCTTCTGTGGCCCCAAAGCGGGAGCCATCAGGCATGGCAGCCAGACGTTTTGCCACTGAACTACATATCCCCCACTTTGGGTCCTTCTTTCCTTTTCTTTCTTTTTTTTTTCTTTTGTCCTTCCTAGATAAATCAGCGAGCATTTACTGAGCACTTGCTATAACATATTTTATATTTTGTCATTTTATCTTGACGATTCTATCGTAAGGGTATAAGTATTATTCTCCCTAAAAGGGACCTCTGAAAGTTGGAGGTTCTAACGAAGCTAGGCTGTGGATTAATTTAAAAAAAAAAAAAAAGCAAGTGAGCAAGAACTCCCAATATATAATGAGATAAATTTAAAAGGGGGCACTAGAGAGATGCTCCAGTGGTTAAGAGAACTGGCTGCTCTTGCAGAGGACCTAGGTTTGATTTCCAGCACCCACATGGTGGCTCACAACCATCTGTAACTCCAGTTCCAGGGGAGATTCAGTGCTCTATTCTGGCCTGGAGAGCATCGCTTGCACAGGGTACACTTACATACATGCAGGCAAAATGTGCTTACACACAAAATAATAAAATAAAAATTAAAAAAAAAAAAAACAAATCTTATTCCCTCTTTCCTCAGCTGGCCCCTTCTCTGGCCTGGAGGGCACTGCGTGCACATGGTATACTTACATTCACATCAGCAAAAGATATGCACTAAATAATAAACTAAAAATTATAAAAAGAGCATCAGACACCCCCCCCCACCCCCCACCCCTCCACCCCGTCTCCTCAACTAACGCCTTCTCTGGCCTCCCACAGTCAGGCAGCCCTCTCGACTTTGGTTTCCAGCCACCTAACAAATAACTGTGGCAAGGAAGGTACTTCAGTCCTCAGAGCCTCACCTCACCACTGCAAACCTCCCCCTAGTCCCTGAACAGCATGCACGGAACAGTCCAAGACCATGATCAGCTGAGGCGGCACTCTCGCTCACCTCTCCAAACTCCAGATCTGCGAGCTTTCTGAAAGCCTCAAGAGCTGACCTCTGTCCCCAAAAATCAGGGCATCGACTGCTGTGCAGCTCGGTCCCGTCCTGTCCCCCGCCCCCTGTCCCCAAAAGTCAGGGCATCGACTGCTGTGCAGCTCCGTCTCCCTGAGTACTTTGTGGTGCTTGTTCAGTCTCCGGGGCTCCTATGAGGAACACCATGAAGTGTTCTGACTCTACCTCTGCTGGGAAGCCCAGAGGCAGGGACCACACAGTGTGGCCTGGGGACAAAGTTCATTTGCTGGCTGGCTGTCTTGGAAGAGTGAGGTATGACGGGAGCTGTGGACCTCTGGGCACATCTTTGTTCATCTTCTTTATGTACTTATCTCTTCTGACTTTATTTATTTGTATGTGTGTGCACTTGCACACATGCCCCACAGCCCCCACATGGAGGTCATAAGGGTTGCTCTCAGGTTGCCAGGCTTGGTGGCAGCGTCTCTACCCATCGGGCCATCCCTCTGTCCCCTGGTTCATCCTTTAAAGAGAACGCAGGAAGGTGGTGAAGAACTCACAGGTTATTACTCAGTAGAATTACTTGGTCCAACCATCATCTCCATGCTTCTTCACATGGAAAACCAGATGGAACTGTAATGTCTCACCCAGCTCCCAGGCCCACCGCTGTTCTATAAGGCCACCAGCCACGGGGGCGGGGAGAAGACAAGGACCCAGACCCAGCTGGCACCTTCCCATCAGCGCATCCCCTCTCTCCTCCCAGCATCTATCACTTACCTGCCCAGGAGTTCCCAAGATGTTCACTGATGTCAAGGCCTTTTAAAGCTTCCTTGAAGAGAACGAACAGCAGGAGGTACCAGTTGCTGAGCTGAGAGCCTGAGTTCAAGCAGTGCTGATGAGGGATCAGGAGAGAGCCTCACAGAGTGGGGACAGAGAAGAAAACAAAAAGGTCAGAGTGCCAGGCAAGTGGAAGGTAGCCTAGCCGCTAGTTACCTGTGAAGGAGGGACTAAGCCTCTGAAAGGGAAAATGACTGACCCAAGACCACAGCCAAACCTAGAACATGAACCCAGGCTCCTACCTCCCTGTCCAGAAATCTCACACCACAAGGCCGCATGAAGATATGCAGGCTTCTTTATTAGGCAGGAAAGGATCTTGGTAAAATTGTGACTGCTGCTTTATTGTGGCAAAGAATTTAATTAACTGCCACAGTTCTTGTCCCGGGCAGTGAATAATTTAAATCTTAATGCTGGGGCTGAGTGTGGAGCTCAGTGATAGAGTGTATGCTCAGCATGGGGACCCAAGTTCAGTCTCCAGCACCAAAACAATGAAAATAAAAATACCTGTTAAATAGAGAAACAAATCACGTAAAAAAAAAATCTCTATGTTTTATTTATTAGTTGTGGTCTGTGTGCGTGAGAGGTGGGGTGAGGAGTACCACAGTGCACATGTAGAAGTCAGAGGAGTCTGTTATCTCTTTCTACTGTGGGTTATGGGATAAAACTCAGGCTATCAGGGTTGTGCGGCCTCCCTCCATCTTTCCCCACCCCACCCCCACTTTTTTCTTTATTTCCCCCACCTTTTTTTTTTAAACAATCTGTCGTCCTTCATTTGTATCGGTATTGTTATACATATAATATTAATATATTATATATTATTCATTATATGGCATTGCATATCATACACAGTGTATGGTATCTTACTTATTGTGTGGTATCAGTTCGTGTATCTGACCAGGCACCAAAACACAAGGGATGTGTCTGCCAAACAGGAGACTTGGGGTTACCAGGCCTGTCTTAGGGTAGCCTGACATAAGAGTTCACCCTGGAGGAAGTATGTACCTTGACTGACAGCCTGCCACCCCCAGAATTTCCTATGAGAACTCTACCCTCGAAAGGATGGCTAAATTCTCTGACACCCCTCCCCTTCCCCACCCCAGGTGGTGAAACACTGCGGTGGCCCTTTAGATGCTGTTTAAATGCACAGTGTTATTGTCACTATAGATCATTGGGATCGGCTTTCCGGGTCGTAGGGAGGATGACAGAATGATGCACACCAATTTTTTTTATTATTTAGGATACAGTGTATGTGGTTTATGTTGATTGCCCTGAGTATCATCTCTGGAGCATAACTAACGTCAAAGGGTTGCTAACAATCTACCGTTGCAATACTATTTGCATAGTGTACAACACAGCTTAGCAGAGGGGGGAAAAAACGGTCTTACGTGACATTTCTCATCTGCTGTCGCCTCGCTCTGCTTGCATGCAGCAGGATAAATGCCGTGTTGTTTGGGGTTTTGTTTTGTTTTAATATCAGCATCAAATTACATAACAGCGTTCGCCGTTTGTTCTAGAAGGCTGCAGAATGATGCTATGATGGAGAAAGCAGAATCTTTGGGGCTGGCAGACTCGCATCCCAAAGTCATCTAAAGCACTCTGCAATGTCTCCTCTTTCTAAAATGGGGTTCTCGTGGCTGTGACTGTCGATCGTGTAAGAAAAAGCCCCCAAGTAGCACTGTGTCTGCCTGGGAGTTGCTGTGCGTGGCCTCCTTTGTTTTATGTAGTGTTTACAAATGCCCATCCACTGCACTTTGCAATTCAAGATCGTGAGCAAGCCCACCACCACCTTCCCTACCCTGTACTTTTCTCTACAGTGCTTTGGCCTCCCCGGCAATGTTATATATGCAGATGATCTGTTTGAAGCTGCCAAACACAGAGGGAACACTGATTTTATTTTATGAACAATGGTTAAGTGTCTCTTGAGTGCTGGCTACTGGGAAATAAATATTCTAGATTTCGTCTATTCATTCATTCATTCTAAACAGACTATCCTCCAAAGGACCCCCTCCTCCCTCCTTCCCTGTTCCCTTTTTAATTTCTCTCTCTCTCTCTCTCTCTCTCTCTCTCTCTCTCTCTCTCTCTCTCTCTCTCTCTCTCTCTCTCTCTCTCTCTCTCTCTCTCTCTCTCTCTCTCTCTCTCTCTCTCTCTCTCTCTCCCCCCAGGGGCCTAGCAGTCTTTTTGCCCAATTGGATGTTATTTTTCATTTTCTTCTTGTCACTACCTAATGTCCAAATTTATTTAAATCATCCTCAGACACAGTCCTACAAGATATGAATCACATCTGAGGCGGGCTTTTTTTTCCCTCGAACTTGTCAGCCGTCTCACTTATGATTGACAGGATTTCCACTCCCGTCATCTCTACTAATTCTGCTTCAAATCTGTATATTTAATGAACACACCAATTGGTCCCTCGTTATCAGTCAGAGCCATTTTTTTTCATGGATAATGCACTGATTTTATAATTTATCGTGCATGGTGGCTGCCTCTAAATGAAATTTAGTGAAGGGCTTGTCCGGTTCCTATTAAAACAATATCTGGCACATGAATATGATCATGAGATTCTCCCCATCCCTGTCTCCCCCTTTTGTGCATATGAACAGTTTCATGTTCCTGTTAGACTCCTAAACACAGCAAGGTTTTTCTCACCCAAAAATATGTTGAATTTTATAACTCTGCACAAAGACAAAAAGAAAAACAAGAGATTGCTTACAAAAAAAAAAAAAAAATCCCCAATGCAAACACAATCTGACACATGCTAAAAATTGCCCGAAGCACTGGTGAGTTATAGTTCCTCTCCCGAGGCAGATAATTCATTAGGAAATAGCCTCATGCCCTATGTAGCAATTGAACAAAAATATTTATGTGTGGTACTATCCGATGATAAGGGGAACAGGGTTTCTTTGGGAGGGAGGGGGAGGGGAGGTCTGCAGTAGCTGCCCACCATAAGCATTGCAAATGAATCCTTAGCCTTCATCCTGCAATCTAGGTCAGTATGGAGCAGTGGGACGATGGGATGGCTTTTAAATCTGCTGTAGGCTCCCATCATCTGCTTAGAAGGCACAGGAGGCCCAGTTACACTGGACTGGAACATTCCAAGAGGAACAGAGAGATACTCTCACCTGCTATAGGGACCATTACCTGACTACAGAGTCATCAAAAATAAAGAGGGCCATACCATCAGATGAATTAGATTTAAACACACGCCGACTTTAAGTTTTCCTTGTTCTGCTGTTTAAGACCTGAACAGAATTTGCCAGACAGATTTTTAAAAGGGAGACACTACTCCAGCCTCCAGAATATATGGATTCTTCTTTTAAAAATACAACAGGCTCCTACACCCTGGGTGTGGACAGGCACTTTGTAAATCACCTTCCCGGGTTGCACAAGAAGATAGGAAATACAAGTTTCCTACAACAAGCCATGGTTTGTTTCTCTTTTGCCTTTCTTTTAAAATTAGGGGGTTTGTACACTATGAATAATTCATCAAATAAAGCAGAAACAAAATAAATTGACTGGTAACTGCCACCTGATAAACTAAACTTGTACCCTTGTGAAGGGCCTTATTTTTCCTTCAAAATGAGTATGGAAGGATGCTATTTCCAGAGGCTCAGGCTTAGTGGGTTCTTCCTCAAAACTGCTTGTGCCAGCTTTAATATAATTATTTCCTGGTCATGTTATAGACTTAATTCACTAGGTCGAAGTCTCTGACGCTTTCCCCAGGTTCTCCTCCCCCAACACACATAAGCTGGCTCTGTGTATTTTTCCAAACATGTCCCAAAATACTGCTAAAACTAGAGAAATGTAAGTAGAAACATCTGAATTTCAAAAATCAGTCTAAGCAAAACACTAAACAAACCAGACAGAACAGACTATCTCTTTTAACTTTTAGTAGATGCTTTTATTTATTTATTTTAATTGCCACACCATACTTGTGTCTATTTATGGGACAGCCTGTAGTAATTCAATATGTATTCACAACGTGCAACTCTCAATTCAGAGTAATTAGTAATTCCAGGTCTTCAAAATTTTATCATTTCTATATGTTGGAAAACCTTCAAAATCTTCTTTTCCAGGTACTTTGAAAATAGCATACATTGCTTTAGACTGTTACCCTAAGCTTTATTTGACAAAAATCATAAGAAAAAAATGTTAAAGTAAAAATATGATATAGGAGAAAATATGTAACAAAAAACTGAAGAGAGCGGGTTTTGCTCTACTACAAAGCAGCCTCATGCTTTCTTCTTTTATATACGTTCAAAAGGAGTCAACTAGCTCTTGGGTTCTATGGTTAGCTATTCCGTCCAAATACACCTCTAAATTTGTTTTTTGCTGTGTTTTGTTTTTGGAAAGCCAAGGTATCTGCAAAAGTATCTGCAGCTATTTCTAAGGATGTGAGCTGACATTCAAAGAAAACAGAAGCACTTCTGAGTCTGCTGAAACTGATATCAAGCTTGCAAGTCTCACTGTAGAATGATCTTCAAAACAATGTTGAATGACTTTAGATGACCAGTTTATAACAACCTCGTCTCCCCACCCACCCCCAACATCACTAAAAAGGCCTGAAGAAAACAACCAGTATCAGATATACAGATAGATAAGTAAAAACAAACTTGGCTTCTTATTTGTCTGAATATTTCACTAGGGATGGAGTTTTGTATTCCAAAACCGGAAGGTGATAGAATAGTCTATTTCAGGACATCTTTAAAAAAAAAAAAAAAGCCATTTAAAAGTACTGCAGAATGTTATTTTGATTTCTGCCACAGGATAAAGGGCTCCTCCTGAACGCAAACAACAAGCAAAGAATGCGCTAGAGGCTCCGCCATCATATTAAAAATTAAACCCGGCTGCATTTCATAATGGGCTGGCTCTCTCTCTCTCTCTCTCTCTCTCTCTCTCTCTCTCTCTCTCTCTCTCTCTCCTCCTTTCCTCTCCTCTCCTCTCCTCTCCTCTCCTCTCCTCTCCTCTCCTCTCCTCTCCTCTCCTCCATTTTCTCTCAGCACAGCCTCCATCCCCTCACCGTGGAAATCGCACTCGGATAGCTGTTCTTCATGGTTAACACTGAGGCATCAGCTGAGGTCAGAACCCTGCTTCTCTGAACAGGGAACCACAAATGTCACTGACACATGCCACGGCTTGGCAAATAATATATTTCTTTCCAGTCTCCTGTCCCTTCCGTTTACCCACCCTCATGCATGTGCTAAGCTGAAGGGCATCTCTCAGTCTTCCTTCTTTCCTTTGGTGGGACCAGCAGGAGGCATGCCATTCACAATGAATTCAAAAGTGCTCCTCTTTTGATTTCTGTTGTCTTTATTTTAACCTCAAGAAGAGAGGGAGATTGAACCCAGTCTTCACCCCGGGCTACTACGCTAATACTTAGGTCATGTCTGAGCTCTCTGGGGAAGCCCTGCTTTATCCCATCCGAGGGGCAATGGTGTCTTTTCAGTGGAGCTGTACAGCTGTCCAGCCATATGGGCCCAAACAGCCCAGTCAATCCGATTTGGGGGAGTTTTACAATGTAATTTCTTAACGTGTTAGTATTTGGGGTGAGTTTGATCAAGCGCATAGACAGCCCTTAAGCCCAAGGGTTTAGGTTTTAAGAAGCCATTACAAATGGCCCAGCATCCGTTCAGACTGGTTAAAAACAGATATGAAATCTGTGGCTGGGGGAGGGGCAAGGACTCCTGACCCCCTGGTTGGAGAAAGTCCCAGGGGTATGCTCTAACTATTAATTCAGCATCAGCTGCCGTATCCCCCCCCCCTTTTTTTTCTCCCTTTCTTTTTTAACCCTGGGCTCATCATTTAAGGCGTTCCCACTCGGGCCTGCAGAGCCTGTTACAAAACCACGTCTCGGCTCCCCCCACCCCACCCCACCACCACCACCACCTGCGCGCGCACGCGCGAGCGCGCACAATCCCCACACCGCAAGATGAGAGAGCCAGAATCCCGCAATGCCGCAAAGGCACAGGAGAACTGCATTGAAACCGTCCTCAAACTAAACAAAACCAGGCCTTTCTGACAATCTAGTGAAAGACCGCAGCCTCCGCGTCCTGTTGGTCTTCAGTCAAAACCGACTGGTCCTCAAGTCACAACCCCATTCTTCCCTGGTACAGGGGTTCAAAACTGTCCGCCAAAGGGATGCTTAATAGACAGATACAATATTCCTAAATCTAAAAACCTTTGTCAAAATGGTGGAAAGTATGGCCAAGTTACCACTAATAGATCTTGTCCACCAGAGAATTGTAATTTGGTCGAGACTGTTATCAGCATGGTCAGGGTTCCCAGAAAGATAGCCTAGTGGTGGCCTTTGCCAACCAGTTACATTTTTTAATTAAAATCTGTCGCAAGGACGTTTTCTAATTCTTATAAAACCCCTCCCAAGATTTTCAATTCTAGAAATTTAAAAAAAAAAAAAAAACTGCTTATTTCCTAAGCCTCTAGCGACACATTGTTGAAGCAAAACGCAAGCAGGGGAGGTTTTGTGACAGCCATTCTTCTGTTGTGGCCCATACGTAACAACTGACAGAAGCAGAAGTGGCCTTGAATCTAAGGGGACATCCTTGTAGCTCCATCCCGGCTAGGTAGGTGCCTCGGCCACAACCCTCTGCACTGGCCATCGGCCGCCGCCACGTTTAGACTGCTTTTAGCTGCCGGAGCTTGCTCTCCCCATGTCTAGATGTCCTGAATCCAACATAGCCCGAGAAACACTTCGTTTTGGTTTTTTGTTGTTGTTGTTTTGTTTTTTGGTTTTTTTTTTTTTCTTTTAAGTCATCAAAGAAAAGCAGGCGTAGGGGTAGGGAAAGCAGATGGGCCAGCGTGTGCGGGTCGGGGCTGCCTCGCGGCTGCCGCAGCAGCCCTTTGGGAAGACAGATTTCGCAGGCGCGGGGGCTGGGGGTGGGGGAAGGTCTTTTGGGTCTGCTCTTATGGGGGCATTCATTCTGGGTCCTTCGTTAAGGCCACAGCTAACTCAGTGCTCTTGGAAAAACAGTCACACAGCCCCACAACTACAACAAAAGGCGCCTCCCCGAAGTGGCTCTCCACGTCCTCAGGACGGGTGGCCGGACGTGGAGACGCACTTTTGTGCCTCTGTAATCTCGGACCTCCATCTGGCCCGGGCGGGCGAGGGCGGGCGGGAGGGCGCGGGCAGGGGAGGGGCGCGCGCACGCAACTAGAGGCGCGAGCACGCGCGCCGCTCTCCTTCACTTTCACCTTGACTGCGGGGGTGGGGGGTGGGGGGGACCAAGAGACTATGGTCCTCCATTCCCCCCCCCTCCGCCATTCGTCTTCCCACCCCCATCACTGTCCTGCCCAGACGCCAGCCTAGGGCGGGGTGAGGAGGAGGCTGCACTGGCGCTCGGGTCGCCGCACCGCCCCACAGCCGCGCGCTCTCCGCAGTGACGGCAACCGCAACCTCAGCAGCACCCAGCTCCATCCTCAGCCGCCTGGCCCGCGCCGCAGCTGCCGGGAACCGGGCGATTCGGGCTGAGGGCGAAGAGCGGAAGACCTGTAGGTGTCCCAGGCCCCCCACGCCATTGGCCGAAGCTCAAGAAACAGCGCGTGGGCTAGACGCGGTGTCGCACCGAGGGGGCGAAGAAGGGAACAAGAGAGCGCGGAGCGATGCAGGCAGGTGTAGGATTGAACCCCCGAGTCCGCCCAGAGGACTCTGGCAGGACCTGGGGCGGCCAGGGTGGCTTCAAGGGATCGGAGGGCTCGGACCACTGCAGATGCGGCGCGTGTGGGCGCGGCGAAAGCGCCCCCTTCTCCTGGGATCTAAACGGATAAACGGAAGCGCGTGTAAGTGTGGGGGTGCGAATCGCCACCTCCGGCCTTGGCTTTCCCGCTCTTGCGAGCACCCCCAGTTCTCACTTTCCCCAAATCCGCATTTTCCTTGGCACAGTCCTCCTGAACACCGAGGAGAGGGAGGTGCCCGGGGGCAGTGAGAGTGACGTGTGCTGGTGCAGAGGGGGTGGGGGGCTGCGGGCCGGGCTCTGTGGACCGACTCCTAATCCTCTTGTTTTCGGAACCGTCAGCAGATGTGGCTTCTCTTAGCTGAATAATCCGTTAAGAGAATAATAATTTTTTAAAAGGACCTCAGCCTCACCCAGCGAGGACAGTGAAGGAGATCAGAGCTTGGTGAGGCTAAAAGAAAAGGCTCTAAATTCTCTGCGTCCCTCTCTCTCTGCCTTCCTCTCTATCCCCTCACCCCCCTCCCCCTCTCTCCTCCCCCTTCTCCCCCATCCCCTGCAATCCGCACTCGACGCGAGTTCACGCGCAGGGCTGGATTTCCAAGCTGCACTGCAACTTCTCAGCGCTTTATTATTATTCATCTGAGGGTGCAGCCTCTGCAACCTTCGCCTCCTGCGCTAGCATCCTTCCCCCCTGGCCGCGGCCACCAGCAGTGCGGTCTCTTCTGCACGCAGGCTCTGGTTCAGTACAGGAGGATTCTGGTTTGGGTTTTTTTTTTCGTTTTGTTTTGTTGTTTTTATTTTTATTTTTTTTAATTCTCGTCAGAGCCATTACCACGATGCCGGGTTTTATCCTTAGCTTTTCCTCCGGCCGGGTGGCACGACCACCAGCGCCTGCTCGCAGCTCTTCCTTTCCCCCACCCAAGACAAGGAAGCGATTGGGGCTTGGCCAGAGAGGCCGCTCCCTGCTTGCGGGGCTGCCTTAGCCTCCGCAACAATCCCGCATTCATCTGCATGTATATGTGTTATTCCCATTCTTTTTTATTCCAGTAGATCCTGCCTTTGGTTTGGACTGGCTGAAACACTACGAACTGCAACCCATGTCTTTTAAAGGAGAACAAAAAGATGAGGATCTTGTGCGGACTCCGGGACAAAGCGTCTTGGGCTCGGTGACAAGGGACGCGCGGAACTCTGGCTCCCGGATTGGAGAGATCAACGCAGCCCAAGGGCACCCCGCAGGGCCTGCGGACCTCTCAGGGTATTCATACTCTATTTTACTGATCTTTGTGGCATGCTTTAAGAGGTCAGTGTTAGGTAGAGACTGTGTCCCCCACCCTCTTAGGTGGATGGGAAGCTAAATGCAGACCCAATTCAGTTGGATACAACTTGTCCTACAAGCCCGTCTGTCTCCCCTTTTTTGAGATGTTAAGAGGGGAATGGGAACCGAAGGCTTAGAAGAGAAGCAGTGAGTGGGAGGCTGCCTGAAAGGCTAAGGCAGTAGGATGGAGGCTTGGCCCGGTGAGGGAGGGCGGTGGGTTAGGAGGTATCTTCCCCACTCTGGTGTATCGGGAATGACAGCGTGGCTGTATGTTGAGAACAGTCTTGAGAAATTGGCATGTACAAGCATAAGGTGACTGGACTTGTGTGTAAACAGAGTGGTGAAGGGCAGAGAGGGAGGGGGATTAAAATAATGTTTTATTGTCCCCATGGGTTTGGGGAATCGCTCCCCCACCCCATCCAGCTACATTATATAGGAGTGACCTTTTAAATCGACGCCCACCCTTTACCCTGTAAAGCCGGTTGACTGGCGTGGGGTGGGGTGGGGTGGGGAGTGTGTAGGGCTGCTGTTTCTCTCTCTCTCTCTCTCTCTCTCTCTCTCTCTCTCTCTCTCTCTCTCTCTCTCTCTGCCCCTCCCTCCCTCCCCCAGTCTCCCTCCTCCCTCGTCTCCTCCTCCCTCTCCCTTCACTCCTCCCTCCCTCTTCTCCCTTCACTCCCCCCCTCCCTCCCTCCCTGCTGCATTTTGCATGAGCTATCTAGGTCATTAGCATTTTAGCGTATGCAAGACTTGACAAGGCTGATGAGGGGCCAGATGGGCCTCGCTCTTATTTATTTATTATTTTTTTTTCTTTTCCTTTTTCCCCTCCACCACTTGGGATCTAAGCGAGAGGACCGCAGCAGGAGAGTTCCGGAAGGCTGATTCCCACAGATCCTGGTGAGGGGCCGCTGCAGCTCAGCCCTGCGGCACGCCCGGTCGGGCTGCACCAGGACTCTACACTCGAGGTAAAGGCGGCGGCAACACGCCCTGCTCAGGCAGCGGTCGCTGGGCTCCTGCTTCCCATCCTTTTCCTAGCCGTCATCTCCCTCCTCCTGGCCCCCCTCACTTTCCTAGGCAAAGCTGAGAGCGAACTGGGTGGGTAGGACTCGCTGCGGTGGGGCGAGGTGGGGTTGATGTTTTTTCATTGTCTGGAGCTGCAGGGGAGGCGAGGCGCGCGGAGAGGGGTGAGGGAGTCGGGGTAATTAACACGGGGGAGGCACCCACCCCTCCGTCTCCCACTTACACCCACACCCCGAACCCCCCCACCCCCTCCCCTTTGCAGGAAAAAGCTTGGAAACGAAAGGATGCGGGAGAACAAAGAGCCTTCGGAGGACGTGGCTGTTATCTCATTGTCTGTGACTGAGGGAGCTGCGGTAGGAAGGATGCGGTGGTCCTTAGCTCATCGCGTTCCCCCACCCCACACCCTCCCCGCTGTCAGTGCGCACGCACACGCGCCGCCAGCTTTTTCTTTCTCATTCCTCGTTTTCTCATTCCATCTTCTCCCATCCCCTCCCTTTCTTTCACCTTTCCTTCCTCCCTCCCTCCCGTACCCCTCCCTCCCCCCTTCCTCCATCCTCCATATCCCCTCCCTCCCTCCCTCCCTCCCTCCCTCCCTCCCTCCCTCTCTCCTTCCTTCCTTCCTTCTTTCCTTCCTTCCTTCCTTCCTCAGGAGAAAGGCCTCTCTCTCCGTGTTCACAGCGGACCTTGATTTAAATGTCCATACAATTAAGGCACGCGGTGAATGCCAAGAATGGGGCTGTCTGAGCACCTTGGGTCCTTGAGGGCCCGCCACGGAAGGATCGACCCAGCCCAACGCCCTGGGCAGATCTCAGCGCTGCAGCTGCAGGCGCCACAGGAGGGGCAGTGAGCTGCTGAATGCCTCACACCGCAGCCTTTAGGGTGGGGATGTGTGCGGCTACCGACAAAGAGGGGCTTGTGCAGATGCAAACAGAATCTAGGAAAGAAACAACCCATTCTGTAACAGAAACACGGATCTGTGTAAGCGGGTGGTAGTAGGAGTGGGAGATAGTCTGGGAGCTGTTGGAGAATGAAGAGTGCGCGTTAGCATCTGGGACCCTGCCCATTGTACAAGGTCGACACCTTACTCCGTATCTCTTTTTGTCCTGGGCTTTCAATTTGCCCTTAAACAAATACTAATAATCTGGTACCCATGCGACGGGCAGACTGCCCCCAGAGCCTGGACTGCAGCTACATTGAATTGTTCTGCTTGGGGTTGGTCGGGTAGTCTTTAGAGGAAGCTGTTTGTCACACTTTGGTGGAGAGCTGTAGGCATTTGACAAGCTTAAGCAGATCTCTGGGATGAAGGCAACCAGCAAATTTGCTCATGAACAGCGCACAGACTCCATCAAAGCTGACAGCTAGCCCACGGCTCCGAGGAGGGCCTCCCAGCGTTCTTAGGGCTCTGACTGAAGTTTCAGGCAAAGATCCAAAACTGCAGGAGAGGCTCAGTACCCCCAAAGGGAGGGCTGCTCCGTTGCTCTTAAAACCAGGACAGAAGGAAAAACAGCATGTGTACAGGTGGGGGTCTGAGGAAAGTCTGTTTTGAAGCGGGCTGTCCAGGAACAGAAAGGGTTAAGCCTCCCTCATCCTGAAGCACCTGCTTCCCAAATCAGCCCCCAGCAGCAGCTGGTCCTGGAGACCCCCGACACAGTTCCATTCCATCTCCATCTCAGTGTTCCCCGCCAACCTTCAGTGGGAGGATGGTGGCCTGGTGACCGACCTAAACTCATTAATTTCCAGGTGGAGAAAACAGAGGAACGGCAGGTCCCAGCAGCAGAGGGAGAGAAAGGAGGCCAAGAGCTGGCCTTCCCACCCAGGAAGCAGGCAGTAGCCCTTCCCCCTGCTGTCCTGCCAGAGGCCTGCCTTTGCAAGGCCAAGCCCATAAAGGATGTTTAGGAGTTTAATCTGATTCTTAACACAGTAATCAGAGTCTAAAAGAGCATCCATTGGAGTTAATAGAGGACTCTTTTCCCCAAAGCCTCTCTGCCTCCTCTAGTCTAGTAAATTAGTATTGGAAGGTATCATGGATCAGTACCTCTCTGGCCTAGTTCCCTCACGAGTATTTATTATTTCTTGAGTATCTACTATGTGTCCATCTTTGTGATGATCTCATCTTAACTGCTAAATTTCATCACAGAAGGGAGTGTTAGAGCTAGCTAGACTGAGGGTAAATGCGCCATACTCTGCCTAGGCTTTCCCAGAACCTTCTCTTCTCTGCAGAAATGAGCCACAGCCTGCTCGCTCTTGCAGGAGGAAAGCTGTAGTGCATACATCATGAGGACCACAGGGGTTTCGATGATTGAGTCCTATAGAGCACGCTAGGCTACCCGGAAGGGAAAGCCTTAGCAATGGCTGTCCTAAGAGATGCCGTAGCCATTGCCTTCAAAATCTACCTCCCTTGAAATGAGAACTGACCCTGTCCTGGGACACTCCCACCCTTTATAAATCTGTTAGAAGACAGTGTACTGTACCATTTTGGGGGTGTGCCCAGTGCCCCCCTCCATGCCCGATGAGATGTTATTTTGCCTTCAAGCAATGGCCTAAGCTGCTGATGGCCCAACCCCTGTACCACAAACGTCCCCATTAGCAATCCTCTGCTCAGTAATTGCTTCCCCATGATTCCTTCAAATGTCCCCTCGTCCTTCACTGCTACTTCATCTTACATAACCTCCAGATGCCTCCCCAAGTAAGGCCCTTTTAGATAGAAACCCAATATGCTTTTGCTCCGAGAGCTCCAACCGCAGGCACCTTCCGTAAGGCCTGCCTGGGATCTGCTGCATAGGATCTGTGCTGGGAGGGCTGCGTTTTTATTTTATTGCTTACAGAAACTCTTGTTCCAGAAGGTATTAGAGTGTGGGAGTGTTCTGGGCTGGCCAGTCTGTGCGTCCCAGTGTGAGTAGGTTGTGTGTCCACCAGGTCTCCTTCCCAGAAGGGCTTTGTGTGTGGGACTCGAATGCCCTTCTCAGCCCAGGTATAATTGCAAGCCCCCTTTCATTTTCACCAAATGAAGAATCAGAGCCAAGGTCAGCCTGAGCTGCCACCTTCCTTCCTCTGCATTTTCTGACCTTTTATGCCCATCAGTCATTACGCAGAGAAGCTGAAGCCTTCTGCTCTCCCAAGGCGTCTCTTGAATTTTCAAGATCACCTCCCCTGCCTATTTGCGCCTTCTAATTACATAGTATGACTAAAATGAAAGGAGACATTCGTGATCGAACCATAGGAGGAGGCTGACATAGTTTGATGACTGAATACGCGTTCTTAGTCCCTTGGGTTTGTTCAGACCCACTATGGTCTCAGTCCCTGTGGCATACAAGCTCTTGTGTCTCTTAAGGAACCCAGTACTTGGAATAGATTTAGGAATGTATCAAAGGACTAATGATTAATATGTTTTTCTCCCCTGCCAGAGACAGCCCAGATCTGTCTCAGTGGAAAGGAATTGATTCTTTAACAGATGCAATGGTAAATTCTATAAATTTCTTCTGTGTGTATGTATGTGTGTGTGTTGGGAGGGGGGGGGTTACACAAGGAACTTTGATCAGATAATTAATGTGTGGGGAGGGGCATGTCCCCAGTGCCTCCGTGCACACATATTAAGCCATAGATTTTCTCACACAACCATATCCATCGATAATGTGGAAGGCACTTGGCCACAAAAGAAAGTGCGCCCATCCACACCACCTTTATAAGGAAATTTCCTCTCCCACTGTTGAACTTATGTAACACCCACCCCCATCGGAACCTTAGAGTGCCGTCTGGGGGCAGCTGCAGAAATCCTGCCTGGGACAGATGGAGCCTCCCCTTCCTCAGCTACTCTGTGGGTGGTTTTTGAGCCCATGAGTCAACATGGGCAGACTGTAGTGTGTGCTGGTGGTGTGTGTGTGTGTGAGGCTTGGCGGGCTGATTCACAATGATGAAGGATATTAACAGCTGAGAAGTGTGGTACCTAATAAAGATTTTTTTTTCTTTCGAGACCCATCTATTATTCTTTCATTGGGTATTTTTTTTGCCAAGTCCTAGCCAAATTGATTCAAGTTTTTAATATTTAATTGTATCAAACAAGCAAACATGGTACAAAAAAAAAAAAAAAAAAAAAAAAGACTTGAAGCTGAATTTGTTGGAAGCAGTCTTTGTGCCTAGAGATTTGAAGTACCAAATTTAGGTGGAGTCGGGGCAGCAGGCTTCAGGGAGAACAGGGAGAACAAGGAATGTTCCAGGTCCCAGGGGAAGCATCAGCAATTGTCTCTAGCCAGGTTCATCTTTTCTCGGTCTCTTTTGTCTTAAAGAGGGTCTGCCAGGGGTCACAGCCACAGAAGCCCCCAAATAAATTCCAGGGTCACTAGGAGATTTCACTGGGGCCGAGAATCCTTTTAAATTCAAACCAAATTTGTTGGTTGCTTAAACATATGTGAAAATTGCCAGACCTGGGGCCTGGGAGGTGAGATGAGTGCATTTTGAGGCTTTGTGCCGAGTTTTCAAGGTGGCCTGCTTTGTGAGCCGCCAATATGCCGCTCTGTGGTAGCCAAGCCCAGGCTGGATGCTGCAGCCCAGGCCACCAGACTTTTCCAGAGCAGATTTGCTTCCTTCTCTTCCGCTCCGGGAGCATCACACATGGACTTGAACCAGCACTAATTTCGTCTTTTTTCTGTGCTCCAGAGTTTTCTGTGAGTCTCTTCCTCATCATGCAGATTTGGAATATGGGAGATTTGTTTGTTTTAAACACTGAGCTGATCTGAAGTTCACACAGAAATGAGTTTATTTCAACCCAGCTCTGAGATGCACTCCAAGTCGAAATCCTAAATTCCACTGGGGCCAACCCATTGCAAGGGCCATCCCTGAGCCCCCATATTTTTTTTTCTGGCTTCAACTCACCTCCATCCCGCCCCCCCCCAATTTCACTCTGGAGCCAGTCCACCCTACGGGTGGTTACAAAGTCCAGCAGAAGATCAGGGAACCGGTCAAGCTGGGCAGAGTGGGTACACCTTCAAAGGATAGGCCACGGCAATCCCAAGGCCCCAGCCCAGAGCTGCAGGCCTTGCCCAACACTACTCCTTTACAATGGGCCCCTCTCTGAGACTTGTGGATAGCACTATCCAGCAACCCAGAAAAGGCTCTTAGAGTGCAAGATTGGCTAGTGGTTATGCTTGGAGGCGGGTGTAGTCAAGGGGAGGAAGGGGAGGACCCTACTAGGGAAAGCCACTTTGTGGTCAGTTGCTAGCACCAGCAGGGCACCCAGGAGGGGAGAGTGGCATCTTCCCAGACTGCCCTTTCCACAACCCCACCCCCTATCCTGCACCAGCCTGGGTGTACAAGGTGACGGGACCAAAATGGAGGCATCTTCCCCCACATCCTCATACCCCCTTACACAATCCACAAAAATCCTGCACCCCAAGAACACATTCCCTAGGTGGTGCTAGACCCAGACTGGCCGGTGGGATGGAGCTGCTGAACTGAGTCAGCCAGGGAAGAGAAAAACCTGGTCTAGTCTTCCCAAACCTTGCTTCCCTGCACAGCCATTACAGGGACAGAACAAGGTCTCTGTTTATACAAAGAAAGAAATACCTAACGTTCCTCATTTGTTGGGCCTACCTGGGCTCAGTTAATGAGGTAAGCAGCTCTCCCAGGGGCCAACAAGCCAAATAACTGAAATAATCTTCAGACCTTGGATTCAAGGACTTACATGAGCCCCTTGGCCCAAGGTCATATGTCAGGCCTAGAAGGCAACGGTCTCAGGCTGGGCCTGCAAAAGCTTACCCATGGGCAGGAAAGTGGCCCTGGGGTTCACAGGGGGCTCCTCCTCAGTCCCCTCCCACAAGTGCAAAGATTCATGTGGCAATATTTATTCCCATTTAATTGAGACACTATTTTAATTTCAGATTGCTTGGGTTTAAGGCCCAGTGGGCTTTTCTGCAGCTCTTTTCCCTAGTGCTTCTATGGAAACTAATTGCTGCTAATATCCAATTTTGTCATTATTATTTGTTAACCAATTACAGATCCCATAGCCCAGGCTTTGCTGTTCCCTGCTTTTGCTGGTTCCTGTGGTTCTGCCTGGCTATGTCTTCCCTCGGCCCTCTCTCCTGCCCACGAAGCAGTGAGCACAGACATTCTGTCTGTCTGTCTGTCCCAGCCTGGCTGTCAGGGTGGGGGCTTGGAGGGTGTGCTTCATGGCTTTTTACCCCATTGAGGGAAATTTCTTTCTTTCTTTCTTTTTTTTTTTTTTTGTTGTTGTTATTTGTTTGTTTTTTCAAGACAAGGTTTCTCTGTGTAGCCCTGGCTGTCCTGGAATTTGCTCTGTAGACCAGGCTGGCCTCAAACTCAGAGATCTGCCTGCCTCTGCCTCTGCTGGGCTTAAAGGTGTACACCACCACTGCCTGGCTGTGATTTTCATTTTTTTTTTTTTTTAAGAAATTTAAGCCAAATTTGATGGTACACCTTAATCCCAGTACTCAGGAGGCAGAGGCAGGCAAATCTTTGAGTTCAGGGTTATCCTGATCTACATAGCAAGTTCCTGATCACCCAGGGCTACACAGAGAGAGACTCAATCTAAAATACATTTTTTGAGAGAGAGAGAGTCTATTATGTAGCTCTAGCTGTCCTAGGAACTTGATATGTAGCCCAGGCTGGACTTGAACTCCCAGAGTTCCACATGCCTCTGCCTCCTGAGTGCTGGGATTGAAAGGGTACCACCATGCTTGGCTAAAACTTAAAAGGAAATTTAGAGCCAGATATGGTGGTATACACCTATAATCCCAGAATTTAGACGATGAGGGAGGAAGAGATCAGAGATTCAGTGCTATGACGTATCCAGTTCAAGACCAGTCTGAGCTGCACGAGACCCCGTCTCAAAGGGGGAAAAAGTCAGATCTTTAAGCCTTCCCCACTGTCTTTCACTATGTAGCCCAAGCTGAACTCAAGCTCCAAATCCTCCTGCCTCAGCCTCCCAAATGCTGGGATTGTAGGCATAGGCCACCACCCTTGGCTCTGAAGCCTTTTGTTTGTTTGTTTGTTTGTTTGTTTGGAAACAGGGTTTCTCTGTGTAACAATACTGGCTGTCCTGGAACTCACGCTGTAGCCCAGGCTGGCCTCAAACTCACAGAGATCCGCCTGGCTCTGCCTCCCGAGTGCTGGAAATAAAGGCGTACGCCACCACCATGGCCCAGCCTACTAAAGTAGTATTTTCACACCGAATGAAGGGAAGGTATAGCCTGACATGGTGACACATGCTTGTGGTACCAGCACTCAAGAGGCTGAGGCAGGGGGATTGTGAGCTCAAGGATAGCCTCCTGAGCTACATAGTTCGACTCTGTCTTTAAAAAAAAAAAAAAAAAAAGAAGAAGAAGCGGGATTGGGGGGAAAGTACCTCTAGACTCAGGTTTCCCCCCACCCCACTTCCCTTCTTAGTTTCCCAGTATCCCTAGCTACCTCTGACTGATCCAAAGCCACACTGCAGACATCACAACACCACAGATTTAGAATGCCCTAAGAACATCACTGGACATCCAGGGAGGGAGGGGAGTATGGGAAAGGAGAAGTCAGTATGTTCAGAGATGAGGAGGACAGCCTCCCTCCCTCACTCCCTCACTCCAGTCCCCACTGATACCCTGGACACCCTTTCATCACAGGATCCTGCTTCAGGGAGCCGATGTATGTGAGGGTCCAAAGTCCGCTTCTGCTTTGTCATCTTTGAGAGATGCGTGCTCATGGGCTCACGGGAGGAAGCAGGCACTTCCCAGCATTCTCTGAAAACAGGAAAAGGAAAGTAGGATCCCTAAGGTCAGCAGATTTCTCCTTTGTCTGCCTCCCTCCCTCGTCCCCCATTTGGAAACAACACTCTCCTTGCCAGCAAGTACCCTTCCACATCTCCCTGGAAGCCTCCCTCCCAGGCCACCTGGAGGACTCAGCTTTTCTGAGGCAGCTGGCTGGAAGCTTCCACTGCCTGGGAATCCTATGATCAGATTTTTCATAGTGGGGGGAGTGGGTGGCGAGTGTTGTGGAGGGGGGAGCTGGGACATTGTGAAGAAGGTCCCTTACACATAAGGCCCAATAAATACCACCCAAATTGGATGAGAGTAAAGGAGCAGCAGCTGTACGCCTTTTCCTGCAGAAAGGCTGCAATTATGCACAGGGCCTCTCAGGCAGAGTCTACATAGAATGGTCTCTTAGGGTGTGAAAGACTTCAAAAGCATTCTGGAGCCAGGCGCATAGTTCAGCAGGTAAAGCCCCCAGCACCTCCCCACCCCTGTCACCCCTAAACCTGAATTTAATCCCTAGAGTCTACATGATGGAGGGAGAAAAAGAAACCACACATACAGACACACACACACTTTTTTTTTGTTTTTTGTTTTTTGTTTTTCGAGACAAGAGTTTCACTGTGTAGTCCTGGCTGTCCTGGAACTCATTCTGTAGACCAGGCTGCCCTCTAACTCACAGAGATCCACCTGCCTCTGCCTCCAGAGTGCTGGCATTAAAGATGTACACCACCACTGCCCAGCATTTTGTTGTTGTTTTGTTTTGTTTTGGATTTCTGGTTCATCCATGTCCTCAGCCTGTCTCAGCTCGGTCATGTGTGTAGAGTTGTGTTGTCAAACACTCTGCGCACAGTAAGGAGACTACATGCTGTCTTCCCTCTGTCCCAGGAGGAATTGCTAAGAGGATAAGTCATCTTTCCCACCCTTTCCTCTTCCCTAGGAGCAGTGGTCCTTCTGTTCAAATCCCACTGGTTCATATCTCATGAAAGGCCTTCCCCACTGGAGCCTGTCTTCTAAAAACAAATATCAACAATAAACTTCTGGACCCTATTCCCCTCCCCAAGCCCCTTCAAAACATGTATGTCCTTCCTGTTCAAGAAGTGTGAGGAGGTGCTGGAGTGGTGGTTAAGATTGGTTTGATTCCCAGCACCCACATGGTGTCTCGCAACCATCTATAACTCCAGTTCCAGAAGATCCAACACCCTCTCTTCTGGCCTCTGTGGA